GATTACTATACCCAGCCAAAATGTCTATTATAGTCAAAGGGGAAAGAAAAATCTTCCATGACATGAACAGGCTGAAGGAATTCATGTCCACAAAACCAGCCCTTGAGAGAGTTCTGGAAGCTATACAAAGAGTTGAAGAAAGGAATGACTATACCCAAGGGGTTGTGGAAAGAAATTCAATGAAGGTATAACTGACTAAAAGTGCAGTTATATCAAGAATGTAAACAGAAGTAAAAATGACAGGATTCAATACACATCTTTCATTAATAACTTTAAATATCAACGGACTGAACTCCCCAGTCAAAAGATACAGACTAGGTGAATGGATTAAGAAACAAAGCCCATCTTTTTTTGTCTGCAAGAAACTCATCTCACTTTCAAGGACAGGCGTTACCTTAAGGTGAAAGGATGGAAAAAAATATACCAAGCAAATGGTACTAAGAAAAAAGTACGCATTGCCATTCTAATATCTGACAAAATAGACTTTAAACTAAAACTAATCAGAAGAGATAAAGAGGGCCACTTCATTCTGATCAAAGGAACAATAAACCAAGAAGATATTACAATCATGAACATATATTCACCAAACTCTGGTGCACCCAACTTCATAAAAACAGTACTACAGGGCTTTAAGACCCAGATTAATCCCAACTCATTAATAGTAGGGGACTTCAATACCCCACTGTCTCCATTAGATAGGTCAACAGGACAGAGAGTTAACAGAGAGACATCTGAATTAAACAATATTATACATCAAATGGACCGAACAGACGTCTACCAAGTATTCTACCCAAGCACCAAAGATATACTTTCAATTCAGTGCCCTATGGAACATTCTCCAAAATCAACCATACATTGGGGCACAAAACAAATCTCAACAAATGAAAAAAGATTGAAATAATTCCATGTATTCTATCAGACCGCAATGCAATAAAGCTTGCAGTCAGCACCAGAAGAAGCCCTAGTAACCACATGAACACATGGAGATTAAACAACACACTCCTGAATGATGAATGGGTCAAAAGAGAAATCAAGAAAGAAATGAAAGTATTCCTGGAACTAAATGAAAAGTACAGTATAACACAACAAAACCTCTGGGACACACTGAACGCTGTCCTTAGTGGGCACTTTATAACTCTTAAGTGCCTACATTAAAAAAATCAGAAAGAACACAAATAAATGACTTAACATTGCAACTCAACACACTTGAAAAGCAACAACAAATGAAACCCAAACCCAGCAGACAAGAAGAAATAACAGAAATCAGGGCTGAAATTAATGAAATAGAAACAAAATGATACAAAGAATCAACGAATCCAAGAGCTGGTTCTTTGAAAAGATAAACAAGACTGACAGACCGCTAGCCCAGTTAACCAAAAGAAAGAAAGAACACCTCCAAATCAACAAAATCAGAGATGAAAGAGGAAACATCGTAACAAACACCAGAAAGAGGGGAAACATCACAACAAACACCAAAAAGATCCAGAACATTATAAGGGAGTACTTTAAAAACCTATATGCTACTAAATTTGAAAACTTAAGAGTGGATGGGTATCTAAAGGCATGGGAACCACCAAAACTAAGAAGAGATTAACAGCTTAAACACCCGTAACACAAAAAGAAATTGAAACATTTCTATTTCAATTCCAATTTCAAAAGAAATTGAATACAAAACCTCCAGACTATAAAAAGCCCAGGACCAGATGGATTTACAGTAGAATTCTACCAGACATTTAAAGGAGCTCTACATCTAATACTACTTAATTTATTCAAGAAGATAGAGATGGAGGGAGAACTCCCAAATTCCTTCTATGAAGCCAGCATCACCCTAATACCAAAACCAGGTAAAGATACAACCAAAAAAGAAAACTATAGACCCATATCCTTAATGAACATAGATGCAGCAATTCCCAACAAGATACATACAAACGGCATACAGACACACATCAAAAAGATCATCCACCATGATCAAGTCGGCTTTATCCCAGAGATGCAGGGATGGTTCAATATACGTAAATCAATAAACGTCATAAATCATATAAATGGGCTCAAAGACAAGAACCACATGGTCATCTCAATAGATGCAGAGAAGGCCATGGTTGAGCAGGACCTTTGACTTATCTTCACTTAGATGGAACTTGTAAAAGAAAGGAGCCAGGGGCTCCTCCCCAGCCCATGTGACCGGCCTTAACCATTCAAAAGAAAGTATAACCAAAGAGTAAAGGTGTCAATATAATTTATTAAGAGTCCATAGGTTTAGCTAAAGGCTACATAACAAGCAACAATGCCAGATAAGAGATACCTTCTTTTGAGTTGTTGGCCAGGGTGGCCCAAGACTCCCAGATAGTAACCCAGCATAAAACTGGGAAAATGAACAGCAGACCCCAATCTTATCTAAAAGAATAGTGACAACTGATTGCTGCTAGATGAGGAATAGCTGACCTTCCTAAACAAAGACCTCTAGGTAGGCTGACTAGATTCACGGATGGACAAGTAGTGGGGAACAGCTGGGTGTGCCAACACCACAGCAGACAGTAGCAGGGAAGACAGTAAAAGGACTCTAGTGGAGGGGGGAGGCTATGGGAAGGTGCCATCTGGGAAGTGGATATATAGACGAATAAGATTGGGATATTCTGTGTGATATACACACAAAAAAATCAACAAATTAAAAAATGAGTTATAATTGAGGAGGAAGCATAAAAATGTATGTCATGTGAAGTAGTAGAGGTGATAAACATTACCATTGAAATCTACCCGATGACTTTATATCCATACACAGGTGCTGAGGATCTGAGTGCAACCGACCATGACTAGTAATAATCAGATATAGACTAGAGATTCATGCACCAACATCTAAGTGTTATTAGCAAAAAAAAAGAGTATTTCTGCAAGAAACAGTATATTTTAAAATGAAATAGAGCTCTTTTTTAAAGGTTAAAAACATTCAATTTTATGTCTTACAGGATTTATACTGAGTTCAATATTGTATAACTGTATTAATTCAATTGTGAACCTAAAAATTTTATAGCCACTTTTGAAAGAGATGTATCTGTGCTCTGGAAATTGTTATTGAGTATGTTAAAGTTGTAATGAAATGCTCATCCTAAAAAATCAATTAAAGAAAATTTATTGTTTTATGTGTTTTGCTTGCATGTATTTAAGTGCACCCATGTCATACTATACTCGTGGAAGTCAGAAGAGGGTTTCAGATCCCCTAGAACTGGAGTTACAGATGGTTGTTATCTGGCATGAAGGTGCTGGGAGCCTAACCCAGGTCCTCTGGAAGAGCAGCCACCTACCCAGGTCTCTAACCAAAATTTAATGATAAATCTGTTTTGTTTTAGTTTACTACTTTAAAAAAAGAAGTTACATGGGGCTGGAAAGATCCCTCTGCGGTGAAGAGCATTGGTTGTTCTTGCAGATGACCCTGGTTTGGTTCCCAGCACCCACATGGTGGCTAAAAATCATCTGAAAGTTCAGATCCAGGGAATTGTATAACCTCTTCTCACCTCTGCAGGCATCGCACATATGGATGCACTTACATACATGCAGGCAAAATACTCATACATGTAAATAAAAATAAATCAATTAAAAAAACTTTTTAAAAGAAATTACATGTGATACTGACTTTAATTTATGCCAAGGAGTGCCAAGGATTAAATGTCTCCTTTTAAAATAAATTATGAAATAAATTTAAATAAGAAAAGTGCACTAGTATACGTGTGAAGTAAATTAAACTGTATGTAGGTAGCACTAGGATGCGGAATCCTTGATACTGATATATAAGTGATTAAGGGCTAGAGAGCATTACTGCCTGAAATATAAGTTGTTTCTGTTTTTTTCCCCTCTATAAATAATGCGGCTACAAATGACCACATTTAGAGCTAAGTCTTTTGGCATTACCTTTAGTATACCAAATTACCTTTAGTATAAGGTAGAAGTCCCAGACAGTCCCATGCAACAAAAGGACTTGAAACTTGTTGTGTACTGTGCTTTCAGGTAGTGTGAAGCCCACAGGTTATCCTCTCCCCAGTGGTGAGTTAGATACCTGATCTCCTGTATTCTATACAACTCTGAGTGGATTTTCTTTTCTTCAGATGGGTCATTTCATTTCTTCTCATTCAGAAACGTCTAGTTTCTTTGCAATCCCTAAAGATGGTACCTTTGTTTTGTCATCAGTTTTTAGTGATAGTTTTATCTTTTAAAGGAAGTGACCCATGGCTGCTCTTACTAACAATAAAAAATAATCTTTGACGACAATGCTACTTTCTGGTTTTTTTTCTGTAGCTTGCTCAGTTTCGACAAAGAAAAGCCCAGTCTGATGGGCAGAATCCTTCCAAGAAGCAGAAGAAAAAGAGAAAAACTTCAAGCTGTAAACAAGATGTACATGGTTTAAACACTGGTCAACAGAGTGATGAGATGTACATAAATAGTTCTCAGAGGGTAGAATCAGCTGTGAATACTGCCGTACTGAAAACTCTTCCCAGTGGAGAAGTCTTGAAGCTTGAACAGGTTTTCTCTGCTGAAGTAAGTGTCATCCAGAGTCTCAAACGCTGGAGTTCTGAGTAGAATGTCGATGCAATGAAAATGTCATTAGCACATCATGCAAGTGAATCATGACTTCTGTGTCTCTTTCAAATTTCAGCATCATGATAAAGAAATAATTAGAACTAAAATACTTAATAACCTCTGAATGAGTTTTGTGAGCTTCATTTAACACTTGTGAACATACACACACACACACATACATATATATACACATATGTGTATAAATAAATAACTTTAAAAAAAAAAAAAAAGAGCCAGCATGGTGGTGCACACCTTTAATCCCAGCACTTGGGAGGCAGAGGCAGGCAGATCTCTGTGAGTTCAAGGCCAGCCTGGTCTACATAGTGAGTTCCAGGACAGCTGGAACTACAGGTAAACCCTGTCTCAAAAAGACCAAAAAAAAAAAAAAAAAAGAAAAAGGACCTCAGGTGTTAGAAATCCTTGTTACAGGATTTTAGAGACGATCTTGTAGGCTATCATAGAATTTGTCTTTGAATAACCTTTCATAAGAATGGATGAGAAAGTAGATAGTAATAATATTTATTGAGTGAAATGGGGATAACAGTGAAATAGCACTTTTGGCATTAGAAAATTGGGACTTACTCCTTGCTTTTACCTATGCTTCCCACCTGAAAGATGCTTTGGAAAGGCACTGACCTCATGCCCAAATCCTGGGATAAAGTAAAAACATTTTTCAAAATGCCTTTTAAGCTATAAAAACATAATAGCAAAGGCTGTTATTTTCTCTTCAAGTAATTACTTTTTTTTCCTACATATACTAATTCTTATTATTTTTTTATCACTATTTTTTTTAATTTTTAATAACTCCATGATTAGACGAAGCATTTCACTATAGATTTAACATATTCAGTAACACACTCCAGAACCAAGAGTACATCTCTTTCACAAGTGGGTGCAAGTTTCTAGGTTCACAGTTGAATTAATACAGTTATACAATATTGAACTCAGTATAAGCCTTGTAAGACATAAAATTGAATGAGTTTTTTAACCTTTAAAAAAGATCTCCATTTCGTTTTAGAATATATTGTTCCTTTCAGAAAGACTCATTGTTTTTGCTACTAACACTGAGATGTTGGCGCATGCATCTCTAATCTGTATGCATCTGATTATTACTAGTCATAATTACTTTTTAACATCACAGTCTGATGATGTTTATGAAGAAATGAAACTTTTCTGACATTAATATTTAGGACCCTGTTTATTTAGGAGTTAAAAGGACTTGAGAAATAGTATCTTGGTGCTCTTGGCTTACAAAGGATATTTTTTATATGTAGAAAAAGTCCTATTTAGACACTGTAATTGATAAATGAAATGTAAAAGATCTGAAGAATTCATGCTCGTTTTTAGCAGCATTTATGTAGTCTTTTTTTTTTAACTTTTTAAATTTTATTTACTTTGTTTATTTTATGTGTATGCGTGTATTGCCTGCATGCAGGTAAGTGCACCCGTGTCGTGCAATGCCCGTGGAGGTCAGAAGAGGCTGTCATCTTTTTTTTCTTTTATCATGACACCAATAGTAAAGCTTACTGGTAATAAAATTGATGTATATAGGAAAAAAAATGGCATAACTATAAATCGTTTTTTTCTTTTAGCCAGAAAGTGAAATTTCAACCACAGCAGATGATTATAGTTCAGAGGTAAGATTAACATATCATTTCAAATGTTTAAGAAAAAAATGATGTTTTATATCACTAAAATTATTGATTGTTGGCATTTTGTTTCATATACATTTTTATATGCTTCTATTGTAACTTATAAATACAATAAAAATAACAACAGTTTTATTGTTTAGAAAACCCAGAGATAGCTACTGCTATCTTTTTTTCTGAATGTTGGCTATGGTCATAACTGTTAAGTAGTTTTGTCTTTAAATATATAGTCTCTGGTTTACTTAAGTTTTTGATATTGAGTTTCTAGACTGTAAGATCACTGAAAGGTATTCTTTTTTAGCACAGCAAAACTTTGGGGAGTTTGTTTGTTTCGGTCTTTTTGAGACAGGGTCTCCCTGTAGCACCAGCTGGACTGGAACTCACAGTGTAGATCAAACTGGCCTCTCTGTCACAGAGATTCACCTACCTCTGCCTCCTGATTATTGGGATTAAGGTATGAGTCACCACATCTGGCTAACACAGTACAAATTTTTAACGTTTTGTTTTGAGTAAAGGTTTTCACAAATGCTTAGGTTCCAGTTAACCATATGAACTTGTTAATTGACATTAATGTTGCAATAGTGATCTTGATTTAGGTGCCAAACTATTAGGATATTGGCCTCTTGAACTATCATTGTATGTTGGTGATACTTATATGTCATTTGTTTTCTTAGTCTTTAAAACATGACTGCTATTTCTTTGTCCCATAGTTAGAGAACATGAAACACTATTTTTTGCTCTGAATGTTTCAGTAAATTAGTGTATTCTTTAAGTCTCAATAATTGCAGGTTTCTGATAGAAAAGAGAACCATTCATGTTCTTAAATCAACACAATACAATTTAATATTAATAGTGGGAAGTAAAAACTTTGACACTTAACAATACACAACAATGTGCTTCAAAGCCGTGAATATACTTGTTAGTAGACTGGCCAGAAAAATAACAAACATTGAATAAATAAATGGGTATGTGATTTACACTGCATAAAAGTATGCAGTGTGAGTGCATGGAAGTATGGATTTAAAAGCACCACTTGTGAAAACTGTCAACCAAGAATATTATATCCAGAAAAGGTATTTTTTTCTCAGGTTAGCAAATGTTTCTGTGTTTAAAGATACGTAAAGATACTTAAATTATGGAGACTGGAGAGATGGCCCAGTGGTTAAGAGCACTGACTGCTCTTGCAGAAGAGCCAGGTTCTATTCTCAGCACCCACATGGTGGCTAGCAACCATCCATAACTCCAGTTCCAAGGAATCTGACACCATCTTCTGACCTCCTAGGGCATTGCACAGCATGGGTGCCCTCACACACATGCAGGCAGTACACTCAAACACATAAAATGAAAATAATAAAATATATTTTTAAAAAGATACTTAAATTATATCCTCGGCAGCAAGAGAATTAGAAATTAATACTATGGGCATTTTAGTTGTGATTGGTATACATTAAATTCTGCTCTATTTAGATAACCAACTGCACTTTTACATGATAGGTCTTTAAAAATGGGCAGGATTTTGACCACAGTGTTATCAAGTATTCTTTCATATGCTTTTCTTTTTCGAGAATCAATCTTGCCAATATTTTCAGTTTAATTAGATCTCTATCTTCATAAAAGATCCTGGGGCTGGAGTGATGGGTTAGTGGTTAAGAGCACTAGCTATTCTTGTAGAAGACCCAGGTTCAAATCCCAGCACCCACATGGAGGCTAACAACCATCCATAACTTCAGTTCCGGGATCTGACTTCCTCTTCTGTCCTCTGAAGGGAATGTACAATATGGGTGCACTTATATACATGCAGGCAATACACATATACACATAAAATAAAAATAATAAATAAAATATATTTTAAAAAATGTTATGATCCTAACATTCAGCATTTGAGAATGTGATCTTACTTGGAGACAGAGTCATGAAAGAGGTAGTCAATGAAGGTCTTGATAGTGAGCCCTATTCCAATATACTGGATGTTCTTATAAAAAGAGGAAATTAAAGCCCACAGAAGAACACAAAGTGAACAAAATGTGAAGACCCACAGCAGTCAATGGCATGAGTAAATTTAAAATTTTCAAAGGGCAGATTTGCTAAATGTAGAGTTCAAACTGTTCTTATATTGTTCTTTTTCAACTTTCCAAAAATCCAAAAGCTTGTAATCATGAAAGAGAAAGAAAGGAAGTAAGAAAGAAAGAAAATCAAACAAAAGTGAGAGAAGAAGAAAACTGTTAAGAAATCCTGCTTGGAAGTGCTTGTATAATCAGTAATTTATTAATAATGTACCAATTATACTAGGTTCCTATAATCATTGTAGCAGATTGCCACGAACTTAGCTGCTGATGACACAAATTTATTATTTTATAGTTTGGGGAGCCAGAAGTCCAAAATCAGCATTTCTCAGCTGAAATCAAGGTATTGGCAGAATTGATTGGTCTGGAAGCTCTAGGGAAGAATCAATTCCCTCGCCTTTGCCAACTTTTGGAGACACTTTCAGCTAGTGGCCTCTCTTCCACTTTCAAGTTTAGAAGCACAGGGTCTTCGAAATTTCTTGTCTTTCTTTGTTTCTTTTGTCAGTTCACCTTTGCTGTCTTTGAAAATCCTACTTTCCATTCCTAAAAAGCCTGTGATCACATGTTGTCCCCAGGATAATCCAGGACAATCTCTGATTCTCCAAAATTTAGTTATACCTCTAACGTTCCCTTTGTCGTATTGTAATAAATTGTTTATAAATTATGGTTATTAGGATGTGTACATCTTTGGAAACTATAGGAATAAATTGTTTGCAAAACGTGTGTTGCTTTAAATAACAATAAAATCTTGAACTTAAAAAAAGGTATTTTTTAAATTGGGAGAAATTAAAACATGTTTTAAGACAAGTAGTAAAGCAATTCATGGATAAGCATGCTAGCAATGTAAAAGATAACTTGAAAAGTCCTATACACAGAGAAGAAAGCCAGTCTTAATCTCAAGCACAGGAAGGAATAAGCATGAGAATACATGAGCCAAGTAGAAGGAGGTCAAATCCCTTATGTCCAACTCTGTAAACCAGCAAATCCCTAATATGCATAAGGGAAAAGAAAAGAACAAAAACAAAAAACCAAACGGACAACCAGGAAAACAACCAACAGAACTATAGGAATCAGCAAAGTGCTCTCAATAATAACCCTAAATGTAAATGCGCTTAACTCTGCAGTGAAAAGACACACATTGGCAAATTGCAGAAAACAAAGTACCACTCTGTTTTCTACAAAACACAACTCATTGACAAAGACACAGACTTTAGTAAAAGTGAATGGATGGGAGGCACATGCCAGGCAAGAAGCTTAAAAAAACACAAAGCAGTAGTTATTCTATCTGATAAGGTGCACTTCAGACCAAAATTAGAAAAGATAAAGTTGCTACATATTGACAAAGCAAGGTCAGCCCTTTGAGTATGCCTGAAGGAGTGAGTACCCCATAGAAGGAGGAAATGGAGACCTTTAGTCTTTCTGGCAGAAATTGTGCAGTTCATGTGTTGGATCATCAATGCCACCTTATCCCAATAAGGAATTTTTCCTTCATTAGTTGATGTCTAATGGTTCTGCTACCTTGATCTGGATTCACTGTCATATCCTGACAGGCTATTCTAATTGGACAAGAGTAAAGAACTAAGGTTGGCATCATTCCCAACCTTCAGCACTCTGACTTTGGTCAGCATAGGTATTAGCATGACTGAGATTGACCTTAAATAATTTGGAACTATTGCCAAGTGTAGTACTGAGACATTTATGACAGCTCTTCAGGCTGATTGCAAACATTTCTATGATTGGGCAATTTGGTTTGGCTTTTATTATGCCTGTCTGGTGGCAGAGAAAGTGATTGTGATCACAAAACACGATGTTACCAGTGTGCTTGAGGGTCTTCTGATGGGGGCTGTCACTGTGCATGTCAACCATAGTGAGCCTACTGGCTGGGCCACCAAAGTGTTCCTCTGTCCTAGAGGCTACCAGACAGACGTAGATGAGAGGCAGGTCAAAGAAGCAAAAAGGACTTTGCAGGGGCTGTGGCGATGACTCAGTAAAGCACATGTTAAAGAATATGAGGTCAGATCCCCAGGACCCAATATAAAAGCCAGGTGTGGTAGCATGCTCCTGTAAGCTCAGCACTGGAGAGGCTGAGAAAGGAGGATCTCTGGGGCTTGCTGGCAGCCAATCTAGCTCAGTCAGTGAGCTCCAGGTTCAGTGAGAGACCCTGTCTAAAGAATCAGGTGGAGACACCGGACATTGACCTCTGACCTCCACACATTTACCACATACCACACACAGAGAGAGAGAGAGAGAGAGAAAGAGAGAGAGAGAGAGAGAGAGAGAGAGACTTAGAAGGAAACCAGCCAAATTTTTTCATAT